CACGATGGTATTCTGTGAGAGCGTAGTCCTACCTCGGTCGAGCCCACCTATTTGTGCTACAGCCATAAAGTAGCTGCAGCGTGCCTCTACCACGTGTAATAATTAGCGCAATCTCAATGCTAGCATGTAGCGGGACAGTCACGTTTTTAAGCACTGGGTCGGCATGCATGTCAATGTATGTTCTAACGTACGTAATTAAATTAGTTTAACCCGTACTTTGTAATAAGGAAATCAATAAATATATAGCGTTTATACGTGGTAGAGCCATGTTGCAGCTATATAGTTGTAGCACGTATGCTGCTGTGTTTCGTATGGTGAATGTAGAGAAACTGACAGCCGAACGCCCTTTTTACTGCAAAAAGAAGCATCATAACCCTGGCAGATATGTACACGTCTCCGCTTTGGGCCTGCTTTGTGAGGAGGGTTATTTTAAAACACAGTTATTTAAATTAAATCCAAATTGACTTCATTTGATTTTATTTTGATTGTATTTAATCTAATTTAATTAAGACATTTCATTTCGATTGATTTTTATTTGAGTTTTTGTTTAGTTGTATTTAATTTAATTTAATTTTGACATTACTATTATTTGATTATTATTTTTATTTTATTGTCATTTCATTTTGGGTATAGATTTGATTTTAATTTTGATTTCATTTAATTTTATTTAATGTTCTCAATGACTAACCTATATTTGCGTTTTGATTCTTAATTATGGATAAATGTAGACGTCTATGGGCCACAGCACCCATTTACTATCAGATGGACTGTGTGCTCGTGTAACTCTTATTCTATCAAACAAATTAGTAATTATAAATGTATTTTTCTTTATTTGTCCCGTATGTTTCTATTCTATTCCATTTCACCCGATTGGCGGTCTCCTATTAGATGAATTATTAAAAGATAGTGTTAGCACCTCCCGAACGGGTTCCCGCTTAATAGCCGTGGCTTGGTAACCCTAACATGGCTGGCCACTCCGAGTGGGCTTGCCAAGCGTGGCATACGTGGTAGAGCCATGCTGCATCTATATTAATAGAGTAGTTGTAGCACGAATGGGTCGGATCGACCGGGGAAGGAGCACGCTCTCACAATACCAGCGTAAAATAGCAACTTAAAGCTGCTGTGTATCGTATGGTGAGTGTAGAGAACCGGAGACCTTTTTTACTGGAAACAAGGCATTCCATCTTAGTCCTCACGGGTGACAACGCATCTGCATTTTGATTCACAAACGTGGATAGATGTAGATGTCTATGGGCCACAGCAACCACTTACCATCAGGTGGACTGTGTGCTCGTTTGTCACCCTTATACTATAAAAAAAAACCCTGGGACGTAGGGTGCAAGTAGTGTAAGCTCTACTGCAGCGGTAGGGAGAGAGGGCACTCCCTACCGCTGCAGCCTAGGTGGAGTCGCGGAGGAAAAGGATTGTTGGTATGTCGTTGGTATGCTTATCCATATACCAGATCCGGGGTCAAGAAATCTATATGTCAAATGTTTTACCACATTCCAAAGTGGCGCAGCGATCATAGCAAAGAAGTTGTGCCCTCATTATCAGCCCGTAAGTCTACTGCTGTTTATAGGTCTCTTCCGTTGTAGCGAGGTTTTGCCCGTCACCTTGGCAGGCGAATTGGGGATAGCAGCGCTTCGGCCAAGCGCCCGGGTCACGCGCTCTCTTTGAAGTAACTACTGGATATCTGATCTTCCCTCGTCAACCCCTTGCGTCCAGAGTGTAGTGAATGGCCAACTTTTTTAAAGTATTCACGCCAAAGGCGTTATTCTTGATGCAGCCTAAACCCGATAATGAATTTGAAAGGCTGACAAAGATCCGAAAGCGAGTGTTCACGTGGTTGTTTAAATTCTACTAGGAGCTGCTATGAGCTTAGCATTCGTTTGTGAGTAAAAGGAGACTGATACGCTTTCATACATTCTTGGGCCCAAATTGTAAAAAGATGGAAAGTTGTGTCAATTAATAGCTTATAAATTATTAAAACATCACTGAAAATTCTGCGGATTTTGGCAATCTAACAGCAGAGTTATAATGGAAGGATCGTCGGCCTAGTGTATTACAGCGACTAGTCGCTATGCCATAATTCACACAGCGTTCCATTGTGTCAATATCTAATCGATAAAATCTAGGCCGTAAAATTCGTGACATAAATTTATTTTTGAGATTTCTCGCATTCCAGATTGTGAAATGGGCAAATTTTTTATATAATGAAATAGAAAAATATTACGCTTTTTTAAAACTATATTTCAATTTATTACAAATTGAGTCCAGAAATCCCCGTATCCTTTTCTACTATTCAAGTTTTATCTTTTTTGTTGTTTGATGTTGAAAGTTATGACTGAAGTAGGTATAATAGAATTACAAACTAATATTATAGAACAAGAAAGAAAAATCTTCTAGAACTGAGAAACTATGTATTTTTATTTTATTTTAGGGGAGTAGAGGTCAAAATTCAAAACACATTAACCCATTTATAATACACTTATATTTAAAAAAATTAAATTAACAATTACATCGTTTTTATATATAGCCACTTTGTAAAAACTTAATTATATAAGCAGTTAAATATTTATATTAATAAGGTCGTATGCAGGGAGAGTAGAGAAAACTAGCCACCTTATAAAAATATATGACCGCCGAGTCACATTGCCAAAGGAAATTAAACGTCAATGAATTAATTTTAATAGAATATAAAATTCTACATTACACAAATATAACAATAAATAATAAATATAAAAATCTTTTACAAATAAAACGATTAAAAGCACGTAAAAAATGTTTGGATATTAATTATATTCAACAAGGCAATAAAATATTGACTTTTAACTTTTTGGCGGGAAACGAAGAACCGAGTTGAACAAAAAATATTCGGTTGTGGTTGTAAAGGTATTTTAAGAATAAGGTGAAAGCTCCACGGTGGCCCGCGAAATTCAAATTTTCTTGTGTTTTTTGGAATTTGCAGTTCAGGGTCAGGTTGTATGTTTAATAAAATAAGATTCGCGACCGTAACGAGTATGTGTTTACAGAATTATTATCATTAAACTCACCAATACAACCCTCTAAGTTCATATAATCCCTTTGAATGAGTTTTTCTGGAAATAGCCATACAATGGGATTATACGAACATAGACGGTTGTATTGATGATTATAATGACTATAATTCTGTAAATACATACTCGTTACGGTCGCAAATCATATTTTGTTAAATATACAACCTTACCCTGACCTGCAAATTCCAAAAAACGCAAGAAAATTTTTGAATTTCGCAGGCCACCCTGGAGCTTTCACCTTAAACACAATAGAAACGGAAATAGAACTTTGTTTTACGATTATAAACCTTTGTGACAAGCTGTAATTTGACTTAAATCCTTCGCACATGACAAATTATTATTTCAAATTATAACTGAAAATTTAATTAATGATTCATATATTATGCGATGTAACACAGCGCGTATACAATTACATGTATAGTATTTATAAGCATTCTTTGGATTTCCAAAACCATACATCAATATACACAATAAAATATTTTTTCATTTCAAAACATATCTCCGTACCTACGCTGACGATATTTGTCCCAATAAAATAATAACACAAGACTAGTTATAACCTAACACCTTTTTAAAAATAGGCCGATAATATTGAAAACAACTTTTTGAAGCACACAGACCGACAAAGAAAGACGGAGCGCTGTGTATGTTTCAAGTGGCGCAAAAACCAAGCCGAAACCATGCTCAACTTATTGCAAGATGGTTTTAAGTTCATAGGTGATATACAACATGTAACAAAAACCCTGTGGTTCCCGTTAAGTACGTTATCAGGATCAGTATTCAAACGTATAGAAATTACTTTTTTTTAAAACTCGACCATATTTTTTATTTTATTATTTTTTTTTTAATTTTATGTGGTTTTATTATCTCTTACTGACACTAGCCGATGCTAAAGCTAAGTAAAGCGGGGTCTTTGACAATCCTCTTACTCCCCAAACAATGCGGAGGTAATAAAACCATATACAATTTGCATACAATTATTTTTTTTTCAAATAAAATAAAATATTGTTAGAGTTTTAAAAAAAAAGTAATTTCTATACGTTTGAATAATGATCCTGATAACGTAATCAACGGGAACCACAGGGTTTTTATTACATATTTTTTCTTTTTCTTTATTAGGTGCACCTACGCCCAGCAGAGAACCTTTACGTCATGATAATAAATTTAAAAAAAAAGATGTGTGAGTGAGTGCATATAAGTTGAGCATGGTTTCGGCATCACTTGAAATGTACGCGGGCGCTCCGTCTATTTTCCTTTGATAGCCTTAGTTGATGCATTAACCATATTCCAGATACGATTATGCAAATTCTCTTGTTTCACACCCTGCCTTTTTACCGTAACAGTTATAGTCCATTGAAAGTCCACTGCAGAACAAAGGCCTCCCCTATAGATTGCCTCATAGGGATACCCACCACTGTTGCCACGCTTGGGCGGCTTCGCAACGAAGACGATGCTGCCCATCTCCTGGTTTTCTTTTCCTCTGTTGCCTCTCTATGGGGTAGTGGATATTCTTATCGCCGTGTCATGGCTCAACAATATTTTATAAAAAGGAAAAATTTCGTTATTTTACTTCACAAGTAAATATATAACATTAACCTTAAAATTAACTATTTTGATGAGGTGCATATATATTATATGCAAATAGCAAATCAGGTCAATGTAACTCGGCACCACTCTGAGATTAGAATGACTAATATGGATGAAATTTAATTTCATATTATTTTTTTTACAATTTTTTTCATTATACGATAACATGACTTAGACGTCTAAACTCACTTATCATCAGTCTCAAATTAACCGCCATTGCACACCGTTGATGTCACAGATCATACACAACGTTCCTTTTTTTTTAATTCGTCGCGAAGTTCTTGGTCATGCCGGAACATATTTATTTAAATTAATATTAAGTTTTAATTTGTTTTCTAATTGTAATATACAATATTATTAATGGGATGGGTCTCCAACATTCTCTTCGCCGTTGGTGTCACCGTTGACGATAGGGACCGGTGGCTTTATGGGCGGCGCTGGTATCACCTGCAGAAAATAAATAATAAACATTTTAATAAAAATAAAATACTAAACAATAGACATATCGAACATGATTTCATAATATATAGTAATGTTATATATAATTTCATAGTTAATGATTATACATATAATATATAGAATACAATGAAATCATAGTAACCACAACACAAGTAAATACTAAAAATATTTAACACATATACCTAATACCTCTTTAACATCTATTCAACATTTAAGTTGTATTTTATATTATAATAAATAATAAAATAAAACCGAACAACATAAAGACAGGTCATATTTTTCATAACGGGAAGTTTTTAAAAGTACCAACAATATTTTCCTTTGATAGTAGATATTAATTTAATATTTTTGAAATAATATTTTTTTTTATAAGATAAGGGTGACAAACAAGTACACAGTCCACCTGATGGTAAGTGGTTGCTGCGGCCCATAGACATCTATATCTATCCTCTATTACAAATCAAAATACAGATTTTTTTTTGTAATAGTTGTCACCCGTGAGGACTAAGATGGAATACCTCATTTCCAGTAAAAAGGGCCTCCGGCCACCTGCACTCACCAAGCGAAACGCAGAGGCAAACCTCTACTTCACGCTGGTATTCTGTGAGGTCGTGGTACCACCTCGGTTCGAGCCGGCCCATCCGTGCGACAGCAAAATATAATAGTTACAAATAATAGTTACAGCCATTATATCTACGAGAAAAACTACAAAATTTAACCCAAAAACCAAATATACAAACCTTCAAACATATACACACATACAAACCCCCCACCAATTAAAAAACACACAAGACTTAACTTTTGACTATCTTCGCAGTATGTGGATTTCTTTCGAGGCTAATATCTTATAATGTAATAATATATTAATATTCAAATACAATATAAATATTTCAAATGTTTGTTAAATAGTGCAGTGCTGCTGGCAGCATTCAAAATTTTATACTAAGTAATTTGAAAATTAAAAAGAAAAAGCCAAGAAGAAAAGATAAAAAACTAGTTAAGAATTCCTATGCTCTTAGTTCTAATTACTGCCAAATAATAGATTATTTTTATAGAATAAGGGTGACGTACGGAACACAGTCCACCTGATGGTAAGTGGATGCTGTGGCCCATAGACATCTACATCTATCTTCGATTAAGAATGAAAATGCGTTGTCACGCCTGAGGATTAAGATGGAATGCCTAGTTTCCAGTAAAATGGGTCTCCGGTTCTCTACACTCACTAAACGAAACATAGCAGCAATGAACTGCTATTTTACGCTGGTATTTTGTGAGAGTGGTGGTACTTCCCCAGTAGAGCCGACCCATTCCTGCTACAACCATAATGTAGCTGCAGCATGGCTCTACCACGTATAAAAACCAGGATATACCAACGCGGTTGGCTACGATGACTTTCTACGATCGTTAACGCTATAGGAAACTAATAAATGAATGGGAATGACATACATGATTGTTTAGTCACGTGACTTAGCCGTGATTTCATACATTTTTATAGTTTTATACAGGGTTATTTTGCAATAACCGGCTAAATTTGCAGAGAAGGTTCAGAATAATAAGTAATATAGGCAAATGGTGAAGGAAAATTTATTAAAAATTATGTTCTTTTTATATTTTAAATTCAAAAGCGTGGTAATACGTTATTTTAACAAATTTTATTGCGCACGCACACATCCGTAAGAGTCGATCGGTAGACAAAAACGTTGTTTCCCATAAATCACATTCAATTAATTTTAAATAAAAGTAGAAGCCTTATTTACTCGTATTTTCAAAAATTGCAATAAGTATATATCATTATATATATATATATATATATATATTAATTTAAGTTTAAAATTTGGCTGCTCTTTGAAAAATAACCCTGTATAGCGTTAACGATCGAAGAAAGACATCTTGCCTAACCTCACAAACCGTTGACACCCATATAGAGTCCAGAACAGTGAGTAGCACTACAGTTTCCAAACCGAGTTTTCAAAACAGTTGTATCAAAATTCACAGTTTAATTTACATTGCTCTTGGCATGTCGGGGTACGATCGGACTGTCATTGTAACTCGAGCATTAACTGAAATTAAAATAAAAGATCCACATGCAGGATAAAATTACGGTCACCTATCGAGCTCGGTTATCAACATCTTGAGTGATTCGAGGAGATAAAAGTATTTTTTTTTAATAGAACAATACAAACGAGCACACATTACGCCTGATGGTACATTTATTCTAGATTAAGAAACAAAATGCAGATACGTTGTCAGCCCCGAGGACTAAGATAGAATGCCTCGTTTCCACTAAAAAGGGTCTCCGGTTCTCTACACTCACCATACGAAACACAGCAGCATTAAGCTGCTATTTCACGCTGGTATTCTGTGAGAGCGTGGTTCCCACCCCGGTTGAGCCGACCCACTCATGCTACAACCATAATAATATAGCTGCAACATGGCTCTACCACGAACATATATAATAAGAAAATAACGTGCACCATTTTGTAAGTAACCAACAAAAGCAATCGTGTAATGGCGGTGTTAGAATCCACTGCCCCATATCATCCCGTGGGTGTCGTAAGAGGCGACAGAGGGAAACTTAAACAGAAGATGGGCAGCAGCATCTTCCTAATAACGACTAAAAATGAAAAACAGCGGTTGCCATATCGTTTGCCAAGCGTGGCAACTATGGCGAATATATAACCTATGAGACAATGTATGGGGCAGGCCTATGTTCAGCGGTGTACTTTAATAGGCTGTAACGGTAACGGTAACAAAAGCAAACTTAAATCTGAATTAAAATAAAATGTTATATACTATTGTAAGGTCAAGCTGTTATGTTGCCAGCAGCACCCCTGTACTCCAAGTGTAAAGGTTTAAACTATGCATACGTTTTTGTAAGTTGCACCATCTTCTTCTTTGTCCTGTTAGAAATATCATATAGCTTAGTTATTATCATATTTCTCTTTTAAACTACATACTTACGATAAATTTAAGCATTTTTTTTTTAATTTAAATTTTTAATAATGCTACCCCCATACTAATTTTTATCCTGAAGGCAGTTTATAAACACAAATTTCACAAGGACAAAACATCCAGACCCGGAACAATTATTTGTAGGCCATACAAATACTTGTTCCATGCGGGATTCGAACCCACGGCCACTGCCGCGCCACTGCTGTAAGCCACTGCGCCACGGAGCCGTCAAAAAGTTACAGCAGAAATAAGCAGGATGTAAAGTTATGTAAAGATTAATTTTTGATGACAGATGAAATTATGTAAGCAGGTTAATAAATATTGAAATGAAATGTACATTTATTTATTTCTCACTACAAACCACAAAATGTTTTAACATTAAGCTTTAATAGCTATCATAACATACTATCATAACATTTATTAAGGAATTTATGAACGATAATAACCTCTGGGAATGAGGTGATCGCTACCAAGCTATTTTTAATTTGTTTTGTGAGGTTAATTGTGTAACATACATGATTGTAAGGTGATATTTAAAAAAAAGTTCCACTGGGTTTCTTGCTGGTTCTTCCCAGGACAGAGGCTTTTGCTGTCGAACCAGTGGTAATTAAACAAAAGAGTGACTTTCAATAAGAATTATTTATAATCTATATTAAATAAAAATGTTTCTGTTTCTAACAAAAATGGTTGTAAATTGCTGGTTACTGAAGTAGGTAAATAAAACCTGAGTTACAGGTCACCAGGCCATGGTGACCTGTAACTCAGGTTTTGGTTATACGTATTATTACTATATATAATATAATATATTATTATTTTATATGCATTCAAAATATATATCAAGTAAAGAGAATAGTTTTATGATGCAGTTTTCATTCTGTCTGTAATTAATTTAGTGCAATGTAGTAAAAGGAATTATTTCACTAATTGAAAGTGACATAAATATGAATTGCATAATCTGTTCGCTTAGATAGTGTCGGTACACCCGGAGGCGAACTTATTACTTTGCTTTTATTTTTATATTTTTTCTTGTGTAAAATAAATGTTTTTCTATTTTAAGAATAAAATAGAATACTATTTCACTCTTATGGTTATTGTAATAAAATTAGAATATAAATAATAAACACAATTTAGGTAGCAAAGAACTTTTCGTTTTAAAATTTCTAAATCTTTCATGTCGCGGCGGCCCCTTTGACAAGATGCGGCGCGTGACAAGGCGGCGCGATACAAAGGTGACCGTATCTAAGCGAACAGACTATACCTTCAGCGATTGTGTAGAATACGGCACGAAAGTGAATGAAATGAATGAAACAAAGAGATGTGAATATATTACAGTTTAGTAGACATGTGTAACACACTGCGCAGTTGCGACATCTCAGTTCACTGCGCCGGATGTGTCAACTCACTTCTTCAAAATGTGTTGACGCACAGCGCAGGACCGAGAAATTTCAAAGGTGTTAAGCTGTTGAGATGCCCGCAAAATGCAGAGGAGTGTTACTGAATACTTGTGGTATTATTTTATACTAGCTGTCCCTCGCGACTTCGCCGCGAATTTACTACGATTTCATGGATTTTAATTTTTTTGCGCGGAACCCTAATTCTTTTTCAAAAATAAAAGTATTTTAAGTTACTCCTTATAACATCAGCTATCTGCCATACACAAACAAAAATTATAAAAATTGTTTTTTTTCTTATTAGTACCGTATATACTTTATATGTAAAAAGCTGTTATTTTAACATTACAAACAAACACTTAAATTTTATTTATTTGTATAGATTAATTTTATAACCTTAGATCCGCGATAATCATTATTTTGACAGATGGCTGAGTTGACAGGTAGGTGTATAAGTGGTAAAATTAAACATGTTGTGCAACTGACTTCAATATAAATAAAATGAGAACATCATCAATGTGGTCGAAGTCAATTAAATACACATCATTAAAGATAAGCCAGAAACTACTGGTCAGATCTTAACCAAATTTATATGGGACCACATGAGAAGCACCAACTTTTAAATAAAAAAAGAATCATCAAAATCCATTCACCTAGAAAAGAGTTCTGAGGTAACACACATAGTACAATTGAGAACATTTTTTTGAAGTCGGATAAAAATGTGTTGCGACATGGCGGAACTTTGAGTTAACACAATGTACCGATGCAGTAAAGTCGCCCGAGTTACGTAGTTAACGCAAGAAATGTCGCTGAGTTACCCATGTCTACAATTGTGTGTTTTTGTGTGTGTGTGTTTGTGTGTGTGTGTGTGTGTGTGTGTTTGTTTATATAGATTCAAGAACTCACAGAAGGCTTGGGGCGATGCGTATCGACGGCAGGCACGGGCAGCGTTATGTGCTCCTCGCGGCAGCCGTACGCCACCGGCGTCAGCTTGATCACCGTGTGAAGTGGAACGTGTAAATACGGCAACTCTTCTGTACAAAAATATGTACTTACAATTTAAATATATATCAATCACATCATATCCATAACCGTGTAATTTTTTTTATGAGTTAAGTTTGACAAACGAGCACACAGTCCACCTGATGGTAAGTGGTTGCTGTGGTCAATAGACATCTACACTTATCCGCGTTTGCGAATCAAAATGTAGATGCGTTGTCGCCCGTGAAGACTAAGATGGAATGCCTCTTTTCCAGTAAAAAAGGTATCCAGTTCTCTACACTCACCATACGAAACACAGCAGTTTTAAACTGCTATTTTACGCTGGTATTCTGTGAGAGCGTGGTCCTTCCCCGGTCGAGCCGACTCATTCGTGCCACAACTATACTACTGATATAGCTGTAGCATGGCTCTACCGCGGTGTAAGAATATCTATCCACTACCCCTTACCGTTCCGAGGGTGTCGAAAGAGGCGACTGAGGGAAATGACACATGAGAGATAACAACTCAACAATATAAAAAACTGCGGTTGCCAAGTGTGGCAACTATGGCAAAATCATAGTTATAAAAAATTGGCACTTGAGTTGGCAACTGCAGTTAATTATTATTTGAACCTGTTATCACAAAGACGCTGCCAAGCCATGAGGTGATATGGGAAATTTTTACACCATCACTAAACTGTAGTTCCGCGGAATTAATAGTCAATTTTATCTTATTTAAGACATCGGTAATTATTAACTTTGGGTTTTATTATACTAAAATGATAAATTTGAGCTACAGCTTGCCTGATGGTAAGAAGTTCTTGCAGCCACAGGCGACCTGTAACGAATTTCTATCCAGAAAAAGAGCCCTACCACGTGGTAATTTCTGTAAGTAATAACGGGCCACCAGGTCCCGTAGCTGTACAGGTACTCACCGGCCGACTTGTCCAGGAAGTAGGCGAGCAGGCAACGCATGACGGCCTGGTGCGACACCACCAGCACGTTACCCTGCCGCTCCAGCTCCATGATGACGGGCTCCAGCCGGGCCACCAGGTCCTCGTAGCTCTCGCCGCGCGGGTACCGGTACGCGAACTTGTTTACGTCGCGCGCGTTGAAGTCCGACGGGTACTTTTGCTGGATCTCCGCGTACGTCATCTCTTCACAGATGCCCTGTTTGATAAAAAATATTATACCTAGATATGAAAAATCTTTTGTTAAATATATTAATGTGAAGGCTATGATCATGATCATCATGACTGCCCATCACAAGTCCACTGCTGAACATATGGCTCTCCCAAGGAATGCCACAAAGCACGGTCCTGAGCCACCTGCATCCATCGACTTCCTGCATGTCTTACCAGGTCGTCACTCCATCTAGTGGGGAGACGCCCTACACTTCGTCCGCCGGTACGAGGCCGCCACTCGAGAACCTTTTTTCCCCATCGGTTGTCGGTTCTTCGAGGTATATGGCCGGCTCATTGCCACTTCAGCTTACTAATCCGTTGGGCTATGTCGGTTACTCTGGTTCTTACTCCGGATATGCTCATTTCTAAATTTATCAGGCAGAGAAACCCCGAGCATAGCCCTCTCCATAGCTCGCTGAGCGATCTTGAGCTTCCTCATACGGCCAGCAGTGAAGGAGAACAAACAGCAGTTCCATAGGTCATCACTGGCAACACGCACTGGTTGTACAGTCTAGTTTTTAAGTTTTGAGGTATAATAACCATATAAATTATTAAAGAACCATGATTAGTAAATTAATTACATGTTTATATTCATTTATTTAAATTAAAAAAAATTAATATAGATCACATTTATGTATGTAATTCTTATTGAGAATAATTTTTTATTTTTACCACTGGTTCGGAAAAAAGCTCTGTCTGAGAAGGACTAGCAAGAAACCCAGCGGGACTTTTTTTTATAAAGTAAATTTTACAATAAAGACTACAACTATAACTACTATTTACAAAATATATTTTAGAAACAGCTTGGAAGCGACCTCCTCATTTCCATGTATTCATTTATATTATAACTAGCTGCTCCCCGCGACTTCACCCGCGTGTAATTTAGGGTTTTAATTGTGTTGCGCGGAACCCTAATTCTTTTTCTAAAATATACGTAACATCAGCTATCTGTCAGTGAAAGTTCCGTCGAAATCGGTCCAGCCGTTTCGGAGTTTAGCCGGAACAAACATACAACATTTTAAAAAATTGTGTTTTTGTTATCTATACAAATAAATAAAAATGAAGTGTCTGTTTGTAATGTCAAAATAATAGCTTTTTACTAAATGCATATGAAAGTATACACGGTATTATATTATAGAAAAACACAATTTTTAGGGTTCCGTACCTCAAAAGGAAAAAACGGAACCCTTATAGGATCACTTTGTCGTCCGTCTGTCTGTATCAAGCTGAAATTCATAACAAATACTCAAGTCTACTGTCCCTTGGAGCTGTGAAAAAATCAATTTTCTAAGCCAACGCAATCAAAAGATACAGCCGTTTATGCCGCAAATTTTCGACATTCGTAAGGGAATCAAAACCTACAGGGTACTTCTCGTGAACTCAGAATCTTAAAATTTGGTACGAAGCAACGTTTAACAGTACAGATAAAGGAAGAATTGCGAAAAACCAAAATTTTTAGTTACATCATATAATAGAAATATTTTTAATAATTTTAAACTTATATACCTACGGATTTGTTCGGAACCCTCGGTACGCGAGTCTGACTCGCACTTGGCCGGTTTTTAAATATTTGGTCTGTCATATGCATTTAGTAAAAAACTATTATTTTGACATTACAAACAATCACTTCAATTTTATTTATTTGTATAGAAACCCTTTTTATACAAGAATGAATTACTTATAGTGACTAACTGATCGAGTGTCAATTATTACAAAATTGAGGTTAGAATCAGCAGAATTTCACGTATTTGTTATTATTTTAAATTAAATTTTTATGCATTCATAACATTAATATTATATATTTGTGTACAAATCGTTTTTACCTGCTCAAAAACAAAGCATTCAGACAGCTAAACATTCCAATCGTACCTACGGGTCAAATATTTGGTAATGAGAATTTTTTTTGTTAAAAATGTAATAGATCACTATTGTAAATAATTTGTGAATGATTTAATTATAATCTAATATCCATGTTCCTACAGCTGCTGCTTAGTTATGTGCATGTAGCTCTGCTCTGTCTTAACATTTTATAGTTTTTTGTAATGCTGTAAGGGTGCACACAAACCTATAAGGGTGCACAAATCAGTCCCTAGATTAAGCCCACTTTCAATAAAATGTTATAATGTGTGCACTGCTGGTGTCCTATGATTAAATAAATAAATGAGGATAAATGATTTCTTTATGAAGTAAGTTAAATTTAGGCACAACGCTAGGGATAATTAATTACATCTATTAAACATTAATCTAGCGAAATAAATTTTGTTAACGAGTGACGTCATGCCGATAAGTCCTCAGGGTGTACTTCCACGCATCTGTATTTTGATTCTCAACTGAGGATAGATGTTAATGTTTATGGGCCACAGAAACCACTTTTCATCAGGTGGACTGTATGCTTGTTTGTCATCCATATTCTATAAAAAAAAAACAATACTTACAGCATCAATCTCGTTGAGCGCTTTCCACCTCTCCTGAGGAGCTCGCACGTCCTTGACGGTTTGTATGGCTCGTCGCATCCACGAGGTCCAGACCCTCAACCCTGGGATCTGCTGCTGGTCGATATAAGTAGCCAGGGCGCTGGCGTAATGCCGACCCCGTCCCGACAGCTCGCTATCCCCGCCGATGCGACCCACTAGGTTGTGTATGCTTTCACCATGCTGGAATAAACAAATAAATTAAAAATAACAAGCCAAGTGCGAGTCGGACTCGCGGATGAAAGGGTTCCGTACCGTCGTAATACACGTTTTTAGTAGAGGAGCCCTTTAATTTTTAATTTATTTTTATTATTTGTTGTTATAGCGGCAACAGAAATATACATTCTGTGAAAATTTCAACTGTCAACCTATTACGGATCATGAGTTACAGCTTACTGACAGACGGACGGACGGACGGACAGCGGAGGCTTAGTAATAGGGTCCCGTTGGTTACCCTTTGGGTACGGAACCCTAAAAATGGGTCTATCAAAAATTCACTGATGAACATAGGCCTCGCTCATATTAATAACGTCTTCCAGACCCAACTTCGGGCACGGCGGCCAGTCTTAACGGAGTCTATCCAACTGCGCAGGACAGGATTATAGTGCCCAAGTGTATGTATGTGCAAGCACAGGTGCACTCTCTATTCCCTCATTCTCATAGTCCGATGGGACGGTAAACCGACACGACCGGAGAGAGATCAGGCGCAGAACCAACGGCTTTACGTGCTTTCCGAGATACGGGAATGAAACACTGATTACTTACTTCCTGACATCGGGCTGCTAATGAGAACTTCTTGATAGAAAAACTCAATAACTGATTTTGACCCCACCCCGGACCTCATGGTCAGCGATCGCGTTTACGACCAATAGACATACGGGGCAGTATTGCCTTCCAAATAGATAACTTCATAAAGGCATCGATCACTAATTAAAAAACTAGATACACAATCAGTGACAAAAAATGTCCTTACCGAATAAGCGCCCAACTCGAACATTTGGGTGCGCTTTTAATTATACGTGTAGTACGTGGCTTTGTGAATACAACTTTAGGCGTGCATTTAAGGTTGAATTTACATTAATGTATATATTTATTTTCAACTAGAGTTACGTCAAAACAATTGGCGACACAGTTTTTAAAGAACTTTTACATGGGATTGTGTATCTAGTTTTTTTTTAAATTAGTGATCGATGCATAAAGGGTAATAATTTGGCATAAAAATAATTTGTCATAGTGACTACACTCGGCTGGCGAGTTGGTCATTGCAGTATTTTTATTATTTTGAGCTATCACTCAACTGCTGCCGCTTATCTCCTGTTTTTAAGTTTTTAGACATACAATTTGACAAAGACAATTTGGCCTACTTTTTAATCAACTTTAATAAAAGGAGGTACTCATTTCGACTATATTTTTTATGTGTTACCTCAGAACTTTTTTCTAGATGAACCGATCTAGATGATTCTTTTTTTTATTTGAAATCTGGTGCTACTATACTACTACGGTACTATTTATATGGTGCTACCATATAAATTTGATCAAGATTTGACCAGTAGTTTTTGAGTTATCCTTAATAATGCGTATTTTTTTATTTTATATTAATTGACTTCGACTACATTGATGATGTTTCATTTTATCTACCGAATTCAAAAAGGAGGAGGTAATCAATTCGACTGTGTTCTTTTTATGTGTGTTAGCTCAACTCTTTCCTGGGTGAACCGATTTCGATGATTCTTTTTTATTTGGAAGCTGGTGCCTCTCATGATTCCATATAAATTTCATCAAGGTCTGCCTATAACTTTTTGGGTTATACTTAATAATTTACATTGAAGTCGGTTGTACAAAATTTTTAATTTTACCAACTTTATTATTTCAAAATTTAAAAAAATAATTAACACACTTACCCTGGTCAAATAAATGGTTCTTGGTACTATATGTATGTTCATCAGATAGTACACAATTCGGCTCTGTATATGACCTTCGTGTTTGTGCACCACCACCTTCTCCCCCGTGTCATAAATCTTCATGAAACTATACTCGGACTCGAGGTTCTCGTCCAGGGGTTCATATTTCTCCTTATAGTGTTCTATCCTGAGTAGAAAGTCGTTTAGAACATTATCCATGTTCTGTATGTTGGTGTAGTCCGGACTGCTCACTTTCACCTCCTGAAAATTAGTTGATTATTATCAGATATCATTTTTATTCTAAAACTAGCTTTTCTCCGCGACTTCGCCCGCGTGGAATTTATTACAATTAGATTTCCATAAAATATATGTAGAAATAAAATAAAATTTTGAAATTCCAACATTCCATTAATTTTATACAAGTGAATAAAATCAAATTCTCTGAAGGGTTAATGTGGACTCACCATGATATTCTGTTCTATGATCCCCGGGTCGTCGCAAATCGACTCCACGAAGAACAGCTTGAAGCCCATCTTGTGCACGACGATGTCGCGGATCATCCGGCGCCTCTCCATCGTCGAGTTGGTCGCGTCGAACACCTGCACACGGACAGACACTGTGTAATGTTAATAGAGTCTACATTTTTGTTAATAAATTCTTTAATAAACTATAAATTCAGTTAATATTGGATCTCATTGAAATTTAAATGAAAAAAAAATACAAATACTGCTAAATACGAATAAAATACGGCTAATATATAATAAAAAAATCACACTATGAATTAAATAAAAACTTTTAATAAAGTAAAAGCAGACTTCAAAGAAATAAAAAGAATAAAATAATTAGCAACATTTTTCAAGTCGTTGCTAAGCCGTTTTTTTTATAGGATAAGGGTGACAAACGAGCACAGAGTCCACCTGATGGTAAGTGGTTGATGCGGCCCATAGACATCTACATCTATCCTCTGTTACAAATCAAAATGAGGACTAAGATTGAATGACTCATTTCCAAAAGGGTCTCCGGTTTTCTATACTCACCATACGAAACACATCAGCGTTAAACTGCTATTTTACCTATTTTATTGCGGACCCATTCGTGCTACAACTATACTAATAATATATTTATATATTGTACACCATACATAAGCAATATTACTGGAAAAATGTTGTTTCGTAAAATTGTTTATGACCTGTGTTATCATATATAATATATTCCATAAGTTCGGCCATATCTCTCACTATCTATTGTGATATCAAATAGCAGTATAGCACTGAAACGTTAAGTACTTCAATCGTCCCTGTACTCGTAATTTTGAAATATGTTCAATTAATAATTTGCCATATGCTCTTTGGCGAAGGAAAACTTCGCAAGGAAAGAACTATTGATAATAATTATAACTTTAAACAAAAAGTAAAAACCGACTTCCAATTGCAAAAAAAAAAAGTTATTTAATTGCTACCTTTAGGTCTGAAAAATTTTCTCCAAATTTATATCGGACCACCCTTGAAATATAACCTATTTAATAAAAAAAGAATAAGCAAAATTGGTTCACAATCTGCCAAGATATCGCGTAACATACGTACAAAAAAAACATACGCTCAAATTGTGAACCTCCTCCTTTTTGAAATTGGTTAAAAAGGAGTTGATTGACTAAACCTAGCCTTCTTCATTCGTCATAAGCTTAGTAAGGATTATACTTTTAACATGGTAGAGCTACCCTGCTGCTGTATTGCAGCTGTAGGAAGATTGTGTCGGCTCGACCAGGAAGGAACACGGTCACAGAATACTAGCTCAGTAATGCCCTGTAGTGGCGGTTAAGAATATCCACTACCCCATATCTTCCCGTGGGTGTCGTAAAAGGCGACAAAGGGAAACAGGCAGGAGATGGGCAGCAGCATCTTCCTGATAATAGCCAAAATAACAATAAAAAACTGCGGTTGCCAACCCGCTCGCCAAGCGTGGCAACTATGGCAATATACCCCCCATGAGTAATGACAATAATAAACGGCCCCCAGTCCCCGGCGGCCCCGCTATTCCTGGCTACGGTAGCGACCATGGTAACGGCGGGGCAGGGGGTGCTAAGAATCTCCGGTGGAGGTTCGGTTGCCACCTACGACGACTCGAACTGGCAATATACAACGCACGCACCCTGAGGACTGACGAGAAGATTGTGGAGCTGGAAGAAGAGATAGACAAGTTACGCTGGCAAATTATAGGATTATCCGAAGTCCGAAGAGAGGGGGAGGACACGGTAATCCTCGAATCCGGCAACTTGCTCTATTACCGGGAGGGCGACCATCTGTCCCAAGGAGGTGTCGGATTTATCGTCCACAAGTCTCTCGTTAACAACGTTGTAAAGATTGAGAGTGTGTCGACGAGGGTTGCGTACCTTATACTCAGAATCACCAAACGGTATTCACTGAAGGTCATACAGGTTTACGCACCAACCTCGGCACACCCCGATCAGGAGGTGGAGGAAATGTATGAGGATATCTCTAGAGCCATGCATTCCTCCAAAACCCAATATACGGTGTTAATGGGAGACTTCAATGCAAAACTAGGCACAAGAGAGAACGGTGAGCTGAAAGTAGGGAAATTTGGAATAGGGCAACGGAACCCAAGGGGCCAGCAGTTGGCTGACTTCATGGAGAAAGAGGGACTCTTTATGATGAACTCTTTCTTCCAGAAGCGGCCCCACAGGAAGTGGACCTGGTCGAGCCCCGACGGTTCGACAAAAAATGAGATTGACTTCATTATGACGACCAGACGACAACTGTTCAGTGATGTCTCAGTGATCGCGAGGGTGAAAACCGGCAGCGATCACCGAATGGTTAGAGGCACACTGAACCTAAACGTTAAGTTGGAGAGGTCTCGTCTAATGAAGTCAACGCTCCGTCCCCCTCGTGCTCTAATCCAAAGTCCTGAAACCTTTGAGCTCGAGTTACAAAACCGTTTTCAGTGCCTAGAAGACTGCAATGAAGTGGACGATTTGAATGACAAGCTCGTGGAAACTGTTCATGCGGTCGGAGCTAAGTTCTGCAAGGCCCGCCGCAGAAGAACACAAAAACTCTCCGATCACACTCTTAATCTCATGGCTGTTAGACGGCAGATGAAGCTACATTCTTCAACAGATTTAACAGCATACAGGCAACTGAACAGACAGATCTCCAAATGCATGCGGCGGGACTTACGCAAATTCAATACAGCTCGTATTGAAGAAGCGATCGAGCGGAACCAAGGCTTCAAAGTCTTTGCCAGAGATCTGTCTGCCAGAAAGCGCCAACTGTCAAAGCTGAAGACAGAATGTGGCAGCATCGTTTCCGGGGCACCTGAGATTTTGAGTGAGATTGAGAGGTTCTATGGGCAGCTGTACACGTCATCGTTGGAGCCGCACGCAAGTGTGAGTAACGATCCAAGAGCGAGTCTTATCCGACATTATTCCGATGATATCCCGGACGTCAGTCTGAGCGAGATTAGAATGGCTCTCCAGCACCTTAAAAACGGCAAGGCCTCAGGCGAGGATGGAATTACAGCGGAGCTTCTGAAAGCGGGTGGAAAACCGGTACTTGAAGTCCTTCAGAAGCTCTTTAATTCCGTCCTCCATGGTGGCATTACACCGGAGGCGTGGAGCAGAAGTGCGGTGGTCTTGTTCTTCAAGAAAGGCGACAACGCTCTCTTGAATAACTACAGACCGATTTCCCTTCTGAGCCGCGTCTACGTGCTGTTTTCGAGAGTCATTACGAATCGTCTCGCGCGCAGACTTGAAGACTTCCAGCCTCCCGAACAAGCCGGTTTCCGAAAAGGCTTTAGCACCATAGACCACATACATACCCTTCGGCAAATTGTACAGAAGTCCGAAGAGTACAATTTGCCACTATGTCTGGCGTATGTGGACTATGAGAAAGCCTTTGATTCCGTCGAAATTTTGGCGGTGCTGCAGTCCCGTCAGCGATGCCAAGTTGACTGTCGGTATATCGAAGTGTTGAAGTGCTTGTACAGTAGGGCTACGATGGCTATCCGAGTACAGAACCAGAGTACGAAACCTATCCAATTGCAGAGAGGTGTAAGACAGGGTGACGTCATATCCCCGAAACTCTTTACCGCTGCATTGGAAGATGTTTTCAAGCTTCTGGACTGGAAAGGATACGGTATCAACATCAATGGCGAGTACATCACTCACATTCGATTTGCCGACGATATAGTCCTTATGGCAGAATCGCTGGAGGACCTAAGCACTATGCTCAATGACCTCAATAGTGTTTCCCAACGGATAGGTCTTAAGATGAACATGGACAAAACAAAGATCATGTTTAATGTCCATGTCACACCTATGCCGGTAGTTGTTGGGAGCACTAAGCTCGAAGTTGTTGACGAGTATGTTTACCTGGGACAAATAGTCCGACTAGGTAAGTCCAACTTCGACCGAGAGGTCAATCGACGGATTCAACTCGGTTGGGCAGCGTTCGGGAAATTACGGCACATCTTCTCGTCAGGTATACCTCAAAACTTGAAAACGAGACTGTACACCCAGTGCGTGTTGCCAGTGATGACATACGGAACTGAGACGTGGTCCTTCACTGCTGGCCGGATGAGGAAGCTCAAGGTCGCTCAGCGAGCTATGGAGAGGGCTATGCTCGGAGTTTCTCTGCGTGATAAACTCAGAAATGAGGATATCCGCAGTAGAACCAGAGTGACCGACATAGCCCAACGGATTAGTACGCTGAAGTGGCAATGGGCCGGCCATATAGCTCGAAGAACCGACAACCGATGGGGAAGAAAGGTTCTCGAGTGGCAGCCTCGTACCGGCAGGCGAAGTGTAGGGCGTCCCCCCTCTAGATGGTGTGACGACCTGGTAAGATATGCAGGAAGTCGATGGATGCAGGTGGCTCAGGACCGTGCTTTGTGGCATTCTTTCGGGGAGGCCTATGTTCAGCAGTGGACTTGTGAAGGGCTGTAATGATGATGATGATGATGATGATGAATGCTGCTATATCTCGTTCAGTAGTAATAGACAACCTTTTACTGGCAACACAATCTTTAGGTATTTAGGCATGACAAGTGACAACTAGAGGTGTAAAAGTAACGAAAAAAAGCGTACCTGTATGTATTTGTTACTTTAACAATTAGTACTCGTTACTATCGTATCGTTAAGTTACTCGTTACTTCTGTACCCCGAGCACGAACATTTTGTTCTATAGTACAGTTTACGAGACAGTTTAGTTTCAGTAAAATTTTGTATGGGAATTTGAACAGCGCTCCGTGAGCGTATTTGGAACTAAAATTTGGAAGCACGAACATCTAACGCTGCGTTATGCATAGCTATCGTTTGGTTTAAGTAATCGTAAGACACAAAATGTGTGCATTTTGGCAGCACGAATCTATTTTTGACGTACGTTATCGTCTATCCACTATAGAGAACTACGAAATTGTTCTCACCGACATTTTTACAGCGAGAACGCTATCGAGAAGTCTTAGTTTTAAGTTTCTCTGGGTTTTTCTTCGATGTAAGTTAAAAATATTTTTATTAAGAATAAATAGGATGAGATCCACGACTTTTTATTATTTTGCGTGGCGTTTGGAAGTAGAGGAAAGAAGGCAA